TCATGTCTCTTCCTGGCCTCATTGAGTAGGGGGGAAAAACTTTTGTTCATAGCTTTACTTCCATGTGTGAGAAACTAAACTTGGATTTGATTATAACAATCACATTTCTAATAATCTATGTTTACATGCTTTTTCGAGGACCATTTTCTTTAACTACATGGTTTCCAAAGATGGAGATTGTTCATAATAAACACCTGGCCGCTATCTCCCTTACACTCACTAATTTGGTAATTCCTTTCAAAAGGCTTTGCCATATCACCTCTGGTATTTGAGGGGGTCTTTTGCTCACAGTGGGATGATTTTTTGGATCATGGGGCATGTTTGTCCGTGAAACCATTTTGATCATGGTGCATGAAAACCAATAAGCATGCACAATATCATGTGCAACATCAATAAAGTAATGTTTGCCTACAATAATTGGGCAGCATACTTATCACCATTGACAATTACTCTGCATTATTAAAAAGTTCTTATTCCTCAAAAGCACTTCCCCCTCCTCTAAATAGAGACAAACCAACTAGGTGGGAGGGTGAGCCCTCAAACCTAGGTTATTCTAAAGTTCAAATATTACCATTCCCAAGCTACCAAATTAGGGGAAGAACACATTAATGAAGTCACACTTCCCTAAAATAACAAGATAATAGCTCACAAACTGATTGATACTCACATGCACGTAACACATCATTTAATTTTATAATAAAATTAATTTTTATTTTGAAAATTACTCCGCCACTTTTGATAATTTTTTTTTAAGATTCTAATTATACACCTACAAAATAAATTATTACTTAAACATCTTATCTGATAACTGAGGCTTGGTCTATGAAAGGTTGTCTATATTTTTTTTAATTACTTTGCTATTTTTTATGTCTTTATTTTTTTGAGTCTAATTTGACACCTACAAAATAAATTTTTACTTAGGCTTCTCAACTGATAACTGAGGCTTTATCCATGAACAAGTCTCTTTGATACATGAATGCCAAAGCTCAAGTTAATACGCTTAGCAAGACAAACTCCCAATATCTGTTGGTCCATCAGTCGAAGGCCTACAACCTATGTTGCACGGATACTCCTATTTACGAGGCGTGCTGTATCGGACACGTGTCGGATACGGATACGCCTCCGATACGGCACAGATACGTGTCGGATACGGCTTTGCCATGTCCAATTAAAATATTATTTAAATTGGACTGTACATGCGTATCAGATACGCGTGTCCTATTAAAAAAAAACACTGAGGCGCAATTTACCCTATTCTTTTCGGCTTTCCACCGTTTTCGCTCAATATCCATATTCATTTATGCGGCTGAAACATTTCAAAGATCTAGGTTTTTTGTTTCCACACAAGTGTTCATCTTATTCGTTATAGTTGAAGGAGCGGCTCGATGACGCGAGCATAGAAGCAAACATGATCATCCTTTGTCGACAAAGAGGCTTGACGACGCGAGCATTAAAGTCGATAGGATCATCCTTCGTCGACGGAGCGGCTCGACAACGCGAACAGTGAAGGCGACGTGAGCAGCGAAGGTTCGTTTTCAGCGACATGAGCAGCAAAGGTTCGTTTTCTTCGTCGTTCTTCATTTTCTTGGCTACAACACAAATGATCTATTGATGAAAGATTCCTAAGTCGCGATGTCAAAAGCTGAGGAAGGAAGGTTTAAGATATGAATGCTCACTTAAGCCTACTCGGTTAGACAAACATTCTATAAATGCTGAGTCAAATCTAAATGAATTCTTCTAATAACACGCGCGCGCGCACATACACACAAAACACTCAAAACCCCTATGTTCTTTCAAAGTTAATGAATCCATCCTTTTGCATTATAAAAAATACCCATAACATAGGGCACTTGACGGTTGTTGCCAATACCCACCATGGGATTCTTGGTGAATGAATGGTTACACAATAAATCTATTCCAGCTTCAATCTGAATCACTCTTTGGAACCAACATTTGTGGGATTAGTATCAAACCGTCATGCCACTCAGACCTTGTCGACAAACAAGGCCAATCTCCAAGCACATTATATTATACTTACTTAAGAAGAGGAACTCTTCACTGATGGAATTGTCTATATTCTGATAAAATATCTTAATCTATGGTTAAGATAAGTAAGGTAGCTACAATTTTATTCCTGTTTGCTAACCTTGTTAGTTGTTACAGTCTAAAATATGAATCTCTTTTTAGGAATTCAAACAACCTGAAGTCTAAGTGATGCCAAAGTCACCTAAGATCTTCAACGTTTATAAATCTTCAGTGCTAAATGTGGCATTCAATTTATGCAGCATAAGCTAAAATCATTTGTATATGAAAGATCAAACTGTTCACTACACTATTATCAAAATAAGGCAGGCAATTTTAAATGTTAGATTAGGTTGCCTAGTTTGGTCATTTTTATGGCGTGGATTGTGATATGTAAGGTGAAGGCAGTTCGTCTGTAAATCATTCTTCAAGCAAAAAGTCAAGAATTATGATTAATCAAACCATTCAATCATGGTATGCATATGGCCTTCATTTTAATTCTTAAAATTATTAATGTTATTGTTGAAGATCCACCCCCCGCCTCCTTTTTGCATCTACCCAATTTTCTATCCTCGAGGAGTGGTGGGTCTCACTAGCAGCCAATCATAGTATGATCTATTGAGCCCATGAGTTGAGGAGCTTAGCCATTGGATCTTCTCCCTCTTAATCATTGGATTGCAGTCCATGTGCTCTTATTCCCTCATCTAGTGATCAACCTCCATTTTTTTGAATTTTTTTTATTTTCTTATATATAATGTCCTTGAAGTTGAGCCCGCATAGTGGGATAAAGGCTTGATGTTGCAAATTTTTGGTGCAACACATCCGTCATTAAAAATGGATTATATTTGATAGGACTCGAAACCCGATCCTAAATAATTTCGAGTTTGGATCAATCCATTTGTATTATGGGTCGAGTTCGGGTTGATCCGAAAACCTAAAATTAAACCCGTATGCACTCCGCTCCCCCCGCAATCCACACCGGTACACCGAGTTTGCTCTTGCCTCGGGCTTCCGGGTAACAAGAAGAAGAGAATAATCCATACCTTTGAAGGCCTCGACATGTAATCAGGTGATTGATTGGAGCATTCTTATATGCCTTTCACCAGTAATCTAGCATTTGCTTCATCCCCTTCCCCGTCTGCCACACCGTCATCCTCAGCGGAGGGCTCGTGCCCATCAACTACCAGATCGAAGCGTCGATTCTTCTTCGTTTCCTCCTTCCATAGTGCCTCCTCGTACTCGTAAAGGTAAAAGGTTCGCTATCTCCTCCTCTACTTTCGCTTTGTCAAAATGAACTAGCCAACTAGGGATGGGCTTCTGAAGCCCGAATTCTCTCAGAAAGGAAGAAGGAAGGTGCGGACCAGACCCTCACCTGCGTCGCACGTTAGTGCGTCCATATTTCGCCTCTTTCTTGTTCTTCTTATTCATCATACTCTTCATGAACTTCAGGGTTTTCGAGGGAGCATATGCCTTCATTCTCTTGCGTTTCACTATCTTCTGCTTCTTCTTTGCCATAATCGAAGCAGATAGTGAGGTTGATCGGAGGCGTGGTGGGCTGGCGGGTCGGGTCAGGTCAACCTGACAAACCAGCGGATCGGGTTTGGGTTGAAGTTCCTGACCCATTTGCAAAAACAGGTCTAGTCCGGGTCAGCCCATTTGAACCAGGGTCAATTCCGGGTTCGACCTGAACCCGACCTGAAAACCAATTTTAACACCCCTAAGATTCGGGTTGAATTGATTCAAGTCAATCAATTTTGGGTGGGACCCGAACTTAGGTTAGGTTTGGGTCCAACCCGAAAATAACCTGCCCTCAATTGATCCAACCCAAACCCAACTCGATTACACAAATGGTTTTGAAATTGAAACTCAGAATTGATCCGCCCTAAACCCAGGTCAACCCGACCTGACACGCTAACCTAATTTGGCGAGGCAAGCGCTACACGAGTACACGTACGCATGCGGTCCGCGAGTGCAAGGCGAGCTGCAAGCAGGTGGGGTGCGATTGTGCGACGATGCTAGCGTGGGCAAGTGAGTGTACCTGTGAGCAGTGAGTGTGACAAAGTGGGCGAGTGAACTCAGCAGAGTTTCCTGAACCCAATCTGAGATTGGAAACAGGTCAGACTTTAAAACCCAAACCGTTTTCCAAACGAGTTGACCCAAACCCGAAATTTTCAGTTCGGATTTAAGATGGGTTTTCGGGTCGTGTCAAATATTGCCACCCCTACCCAAACTTGACCCATCAACCCGTTTTGACATCCCTATTTCTATGGATCATTATCTACTTGGATGATTTAAAAGTCAAGTGGGAAGAGCCAATGAATAGATACTATTATCATAAATCTGTCATTAGCATTTGCTCATAACCCAATTCAACATGATCATACTAAGCATGTATTGTGGTGTACAGACATTCCATTAAAAAAAAAAAGAAAGTGGGTTGATTTATACTTCATATATAACATTGAGAAATAAATTTTCGATATATTCACCAAAGAATTTGGCAACCATACATTTAAGAATGTTGTAAGCAAACTTGGAAATACAGATTTATATTATCTGATTTGAGGTGGATGGTGTAGACTGTGGGGTCCCAACTCCTTTGCCTCCTTGCATTTGCCCCCGCCCTAAAGGAGCGATGGGTCCCACTATGCATCCAATCATAGTATGCTTTATCGTGCAAATAGATCAAGCAGCTTTTAACCCTTGGATCTTCTCTCTCTTAACCATTAGCTTGTAATTCATGTGCTCCTCTCATTCACCTAGCTGCTGGCCCTTCTTTTTTAGTTTTTTTTTTTAAATTTGGTATAAATTGCATTTATTTATTTTTCCATATGTAATATCTCCGAAGGAGTTTATAAATACCTCAAATATATGTACATAAAGTAATTAATACAAATTGAATAAGTTTTTCATATTTCTACAATTCTACTTTCCACCGTTACTAATTTGTTGGCTGCATTTGTACATTTGGTTTACAGATGAGCATGTACTATGCACCTGCATTTTTCAGTTATCTTCTAGGGAAGTGCTTGAAGAGGCAGAATTGGGTACTTGAGGTCGGGAAACTGGGCATTGTGGTTATTGGAACATTTATGTTCATCTGGTGGCCTTATCTTTATTCCATGGAAGCTGCAAAAGAGGTAATTCCAAAAATGAAAATAGGGTTTTTCTTTTGCCCCTCCCTCCTTTAAGGGCCAGGATTGCATTTAAGTAGGATTTCATAAATCCTCTAAATCCGGATTTATGAAATCCCGAGGGGTTTTAATCCTAATAACTGTTTGACAACGTTTATGATAAATCCCGTGTGATTGTTTGGCTATTCAATTCAGGATTTAAGGCGGTTAAAAGATTTGACATGCATTTCTTGGATAAATAAAATATTTAAGGTGATTAAAAGATTTAAGATGGTTAATTATTATTTATAATATTTTATAACAATTATTTTCATTTAAAATCATATTTAATCCTACTATTTTTTTTTAAATAACTAAGTATTTAACTTATAATTTTGACACGCTTCTTCGGCCAAATCCCATAAATCCGCCGAACCAAAAGATTTCATAAATCCGGGATTTACTATGAAAAGAGGGAATTTTCCATCAACCGGGGATTTGATTTACCGTGAGATTTGGTTTTGCACTTTTGGCCGTTTGGCTGGATTTAGCTCAAATCTGCTTCAAATCCGGTCTAAATCCTGCATCCAAACAACCCCTTGATGTTAATTGACATATTGTTTCACTTTCATCTTCTAGATTGTTTGTCCGGATCCTATTATCCTGGAACGCAAGAGATTGTTCTCGTCATATTATTTGATTCCATTATCTCTTGTTAGACATGAATGAAAATTTAAAGGAATATTTGTTCTAGTGTTAGGCATTGCACCCTGTTTATTTCTTGCCCTTCTACAAAATTTAATATTTACCTATTTACCTTCTTCATGATGTGATCCAGGTTCTTTATCGATTAGCTCCATTTGAGAGAGGCATATACGAGGACTATGTCGCAAATTTTTGGTGCAGCACATCAGTTATTATAAAATGGAAGAAACTGTTTTCCATAGGTTTCTTGAAGTTTCTTTGCATCTGCACTACATTTTTTGCTTTTCTTCCTTCTTGCTACCAGCAAATAAAGGCACCAAGTGATCGTGGTTTTCTTTATGGCCTTCTAAATAGTTCATTTGCCTTTTATCTATTCTCTTACCAAGGTTCGTGTCGGCTTTCTCTTGCTTTCAAAATTGCTTGATGTTATTATGTTTGTTGAAGGATTGGGATGACTTTTTTATTGCTTCTTAAATCAGCTTTTTAGTACAAAATTTTTTATTTTTTACTAAAAAGCTGCTTTAAGAAACAGTAAGAAAGCCGTCCCAAGCTAAGCCTAATTCATTCTCAGTTTAACGTCTTGAAATTTATCAGTGCATGAGAAGTCGATCCTGATGCCCCTTTTACCTGCGAGTCTTCTAGCACAACAAGAACCATTTCTTTTTGGGCAGTTGGTGTACTGTGGCCTTCTTTCCATGTTTCCTCTTCTACTTCGGGATAATTTGATCCTGCAATATACTGTTCTTTTTGCCCTTTTTGGACTTATCTTCTATCAGAATGGAAGGCATGCATGGGAAAAAATTCCTCTTAGAAGGAGGTTCCTATTAGTTTTGCCTGTAGTGTTATCACTTCTGCTTCACTTAATTTATTTAACATTAAGGCCTCCTAAGAAGTATCCTTTTCTCTATGAGGCCTTGATTATGCTCTTTTGCTTTTCTCAGTTTATGTGCTTTACAATTTGGACAAATATTCAACAATGTTCTTTTCTGGATATTTTTCATTGGACAAAAGCAAAGAAAAAGGATGTGTGATCCTGATTTGAAGCCATGCTCATGGTAGCATTAGCTTCCTTTTTGTCCTCCTTTTTTAAGGGGAAAAAAAGTTTGTGTAACTTATTTGATCCTCAATAAATTTATTGGCAACTTTTCTTTGATATGTCATTCATGATTATATGAACTTTCCTAAATTTATTTGGGGTAACTTACATTATATGATACATTTGCTTAATGACTTCTTCTGGATCAACATTTAAAAGGATTATAGAATACTCCCAAATTCCATTGGTGCTCAACTCCTGACCTGTATTGGTGTTCTTCATTTAAGTTCTTAGTCGAGCAATGTTTTTATCATATACCATATAGTCATGACATCTATGGTTCACATGATCCAGATGGTTGTTGGACCACTAGGGCTCCAAGTGAATTAGTGCATTTAAGCTTCTTTCTTATTGCTGTCTAAAGTAGATTTTTAGTACATAAATTTTTTAAAGCAATGAAAAAGCAGCAGCCAAAAGCTGTCACAAATGACATAAATTATTAGGTGCGGTCACCGGACACTCCAGAGGATAATCAGGATGCGCACGTCATCCCGGTACACAGTAGTACACAACATCGGTACATAGCAAATGGTAACGCGGTGTGTCCTTATTCGCCTCTGGAAGGCGTCCGGTGACCGCACGTAATGATTTCACCACAAATAAAGTCTAAATGAACAATTTAATACTCATTTATATAATGTTCAATTATATCTATTTATTTAAATAATTGAACAAGTTTGAACATGCTAAATGGACTTTGAAGGCGTATGAGACAATCATTAGGCAGGGCTTTCTACTAGGATTGCTTATATATTTTTATTCCTTTGATCCATTTTGGCACATTCCATCCAAAGAGTTCGAGTTCCGGTTCAAATTCGAAGTTTTGCAGCCAAAATTGATCCAAGCAACCTAGACTTTGTGTTCCATTTTTTTAGTTAACTAAATATACTGCAAATACTAACATAAACACATTAACTTCAGCTAAATGTTAATATATGTCCACCAATATTTGATTAAAATATGGTTAGAAATCGGTATTTGTCTTAAACTCTATAAACACCTTCAAAATCACTGATAAATTTTTTTTTTTCACAACTAAATATATGAAAACAAAATCACATTTTTTACGAACAATCAATGAACCCCTAAAGAAGTTGGAATCCCACAAATTAGCACGTTTAGCTTGCTTTTGTGGTAATCCAGGGAACGTCTTTCTACTATCTGTTTATGATGCGGACATCCGACGGTGGACGATAATTAAAGGAAGAGACGAAGATTGACGGCCGAGATCCCTCCATTTTATCTTAGTTTATTAATTGTAATTTTTATTTAAAACATGCACTTTCCATTTTTACCCTTACTTAAGGGTCTTCTCCTATGTAAGCCCAAGGGGCAAAGTTGTTTTTTATTTTTTTATAAAGCCTATATATAGAGGCCCTTGCTCTTGTATTAGACAATGATGGATTAATAAAAAAGTTGTTCCTACACTTTGTTCTTGAGAGCGATGGGAGTTCTTAGGAGAGTGGAAGTCTCTATGTGAGGGTAATGAAATACCCACCAGCCGCAGGATGTGTCTGGGCTCGTGGTTGAAGTCCCTTGGTGAAGGGCAACGCAATACCCGTCAGTCTTTGAAAAAGTCTGAGACTCACGATTTTTTTTTAATTTATTCTTTTTTTTTTCTAATCGTCATCTCCATCCTCTCTCCAATCTTGCCGGCTTCATCCCCTCCACCCAAACTCGCCGGCTTCTTCCCACAACCCTCTCTTCTTCCCCACCGAAATTTCTCATCCCCCTCCTAAGCCTAACCGGCCATCTATGATGCACGGACACGGACACGGCAACACGGACACGGGACACAGCTTTTTTTGAAAATATAGGACACGGGTACGGTGCGGACACGACAATGCGTTTTTTTATATAGTGTATATATATTAATGTAATATCATATTAAAAATGACAAACAATAATAAATGAATGACACGATAACTCTTCCTAAAATAGCTCATATCAATTTGGAAAGTATCTTTATTTGAAATCAATTCTCCTTTTGAATTTCAAATACTTTCATCTTTGATAATCCTTAATTAGGAAGCCTCCCATAATTTCATCTTGTATTCAAAGCCTTCATATTTTATACATCTTAATTTGGTAACAATTTTAATTCAAAATTCAAATTAATTTGAATTTGTTTCCTAAATTTGGATTTGATTTAAATTAGGAAAGTTGTTTAAATTAGGTCCAATTAAATTTTTGATTGGATTTGATTTCAATTAATCTTCCTCAATTTTGGTTTCCAATCAAGACTCACTTTAATTCTCTTTCCCTAAAGTCTCTTCTCTCTCTACCCGCCGCCCACTCTCTCCTATATCCTCTCTCTACTTGATTAATTCTTCTCCATTAAGGCCCCCAATTTGTCTCCTATTTTAATTAATTCCTTCCCAAAAAAAGGGAACTCTATTTAAGGAATTAATTAAGTACCTCTTCCCTCCCTTTTCCATTTACTTTGTTTGATATCTAAATTTAACATACACTGTTTCCCATTTTGTTTGCTCGAATGCAAATTTAGCACAAGGAAGCTTCACCATGCAAAAAAAAAAAAAAAAAAAGCTCTTCCTACATTACATTCATATTGGCAAAAAAGTTTAGGTCCTAAGATTTGGCTACAAAACAATTGTAGGCTGATGCAAGCCCAAAGAGGTGTTATTTTGGTTCAAGCTTCATTGGCAAAGTGTAACTGCCACTGTATGCAAAAGAGCTACCACTTACTTCCTCCCGAGGCCATTTTTTATCATACAGAATAATAGAGCCAGCCATTGCTGCTGCATGTTCCACATCATTTGTTGTAGTGGATCTCGACTCTGTAGCCAATCCTTCCTTCTTCAGTGTCACCTCTATCTCCTTCACCACATCGCTCATCGACGGCCGATCTGCTGCTGATTGCTCCACACAGTGTAAGGCTAACTCCACAATCCTTCTGAATCCTACCATGTATGTTGCTTCTCTAATAACAGGATCCACTAATTCCTTCAGACCATAATACACATCATTCTTATTCAGTTTTGACTTCGCGATAGATACAATATACTCTCCATTTTTTATGGGTAAGTTTCCAGTTATTAATTCCAACATCACTACTCCAAAACTGTAAACATCACTTTTCTCTGTGAGGATATGTGTCATGTAATACTCAGGATCAAGGTACCCCTGCAAATGTTAGAGACTTTGTTATGATAATTAAATTGATGAAGTTCTAACCATTTTCATAGTTTAGGCCTAATCAAGGCTTCGTTTGGGACGGCTTTCTTATTGCTTCTTCAAGCAACTTTTCAAACTACTTTTAGAAGCAGTAAGAAAGTCATCCCAAACGAAGCTTAAGTAGGTCCACTTGGTGTAACTAGTATCTAGAATAATGTACTGATAGAGAAAGCACAACTAAGGTTTTATAGTCAAATGTTCAGCCACTTTGAGACTCACGAGCGAGTCTACACTGTTCATAGCTCAATGGTCAATAGTGGTTGAATGGCATTGATGATTGTATCATCTACCATAGATCGTAAGTCCCGACAACTATAATATGGTATCATATAATCAAGTTTGAGCAAGTGAGACTTAGCTTGAACTTAAAAATGTCAGGTTTAATTTGACTTTGTATTACTTTATATAAAGTTTATTTGAATCATATTCAGAATAGCACTGAGCTTGAAAGCTACTTGATTATTTTCTTAGCAAGAAATTTAGCTAAGTGACTCAACCCATAATAACTTGAGGATATTTTAAATAAGAGTATTTGGTTGTGCTAAATGGTTACTTACCAAAGTTCCCTTTACATGAGTGGAGACTTGGCCTACTTCATTATCTGATACCAATTTTGACAGTCCAAAATCTGCAACTTTTGCATTTAAGTTTTCATCCAGAAGGATATTTGTTGATTTGATATCTCTATGAATGATTGGAGGATTTGCGAGTTCATGGAGATAAGCTATTCCTCTTGCTGAGTCAAGAGCAATTGTAAGTCTCCTGATCCAATCCAGTTGAATGCCACTCTCCCCTGCAGTTTATAATTGGAGAAATCAGAGGCTCTAGTTAGTATAGGAAGATAAAATATGTATATATGGTTCATAGATATATAGTCTAAAAGCATACCAGATAAACTTTCTCTCAGTGTTCCTTTAGGAACATATTCATATACTAACATTCTCTCTCCCTGTTGAAAGCAAAACCCTACAAGATCTACAAGGTTCTTGTGATGAACCCTAGAAAGCAGCTCAATTTCGGTCTTGAACTCGAGACCTCCTTGAGTAGATTCAGCCCTTAGTCTCTTGATTGCCACCATCCTACCATTTGGAAGCATTCCTCTATAGACCTGTAAGGGATAAAGACGTTATAGATTTCACCAACTGGTGAAATATTTGTATAATTTGTACAATTACCTTCCCGTAGCCTCCTATTCCAATCACATTTACTTCTGGAAAATTGTTTGTACATTTCTTGAGTTCTTCAAAGGAATAAGATTTTGCCCCTTTCACTTGAGGAGCTTCACCATCATCTTTATAACTAGCATCCCAGGATGCTGAAAATAGAGAAGAGTTTAAGGTTTTGTTTGGTTTGAAGGAATTGAAAGAATTGAAATGAAAATGTTAAATAATTGATCTGAAGTTGGTTTTCAACAATCATTTTGATGAAATGTGAGTGTAAAGTAATGTAAATGCAATAATTTTAGAATTTGGTGTTTGGTTTGATGAAAAAGGAGAAAAGAGTAAAATTTTGGTGAATTCCAAATTCATTATGTATTAAAAAACTTATTCTTTTTTGATTGAATTCCAAAAATACAACGAAAGCTTATTTTCCTATCACAGTTGACAACCGTCTGCCACCACCTGCTACCACTTTCCGCAATCGCTGCCACCAGAACCCGTCACTGTCAGTGTCGGTTGTCGGCCAACTCTGTCACCGCCACCTCTCATCATTCCTAGCCACTTGCCTCAACCATCACTGGCCTCTACATTGCATTCATTTTATTACTTCAAACCAAATAAAAAAAAAACCACCTGCATTTATTTTACACTCAATTAAACAACTTTAAATATTTTAAATACATTGCATACTTTTTACACCATATTTCATTTCACTATGCACTCCTTTATCCATAACCAACCAAACTAACCCTTCATAAAATTTGGTTAAAAAACAAATACATAAAGAAGAACATAATGAGTAAATCACTTCATTAGCAAAGAAATTTACTAGTAGAAAAATTCTGTTAAACAGCAGAACAACATACCAAAAGGGTCGTTCAATTCAATGGCCTTCTTGGCCCTCCTCTTTTGCTTGAGGGCATAGAGACCAAGAACTGAAAACCCAAGAAGCAGGAGTGCAGAGAGAACCGCCAATCCTATTATCAAACTTATATTCAAACGTGATGATTCTGCAGAAGATTTGCATAGCCAGGGATGCTATTAGATGAGAAATTATTTTTTGTTCTTAAAGTTGTATGTGAATGGACTACTAACCTGGTAAAATGTATGGAAATGCTTTAAAATCAGAAGGCCCAAAATTTGCCGGAGCTGAAAAGTTGTTGCTGTTGAACTCAAGATATTCAAGAATATCCTTAATGCTGAAGTAGGTTCCACTCAATGGGCAGAAAGCTATCTGTACCTCCAGGTATGTATCATTGTCAAAGAAGGGATTTTTAAGATAGATTGATCCAACGTATGAACCATATTTTGTCCAGAGTCTCTGTTCTAGTAACTGGAATGCTGTGTCATTTGAAACATCCTGAAAATATGGAGCTCTAAAGAAAATAATTGCTTCATATGGATGTGAACAGGTATTTTTTGTAGCACATGAACTTCCATTACAATTTGCAAGTCCAGAAGAGTAGGTAGGTAGAGATTGTTGAGGAAGTTCACAATAGTTTGTAACTAAGAGATGAATATTGCTGCACAAAGGATTTCCTCTTAGCCTGCAATTTCCAGTAAACAGTAGTGTTAGAACATATTGAAATGTGCCCTGAGGGCTCATATGGTTGCTTGTAAAAGTTCTTACAGTATTGAATTATTATAGCTCGATCCAAGTGCTACTGCAGTAAGGGTATTATTTTCGAAATTCACAATCTGCAATTGTTGGCTAATGTTGCTTCCCATATCTAGAGTTCCATTGAAAGAGTTGTTCTTGAGTATCCTGTGAAAGAATGAGAAGAACTGGAGATTAATAATTCTATTAGCTTTATTATCTGTTCTCAGTTCTTCCCCAACAGTCTTTTGATAGACAAATATATATGTACTAACACTTTCTGCAGCAAAGGTAAACTGAAGAGTTTCTGTGGGACTTGGCCATGGAGTCTTCCTGATTGTATAGCCCTGCAAGCCCGGTGAGCAAGTTAACAAAGTCTATTTGCTAGATTTAAAGGAAAGAATAAACAATAACTTACAAACTGGTGAGATTTTGAAGTTCTGAAATCCATGCTGGAGCTTCTGAAGGATCAAATGAATTGTTGCTGAGATCCCTGAAAGAAAAATAGCCATGATTCCAAATTTCTTATGAGGTTTCGTTTGGGACGTTTTTTTTATTGCTTCTTAAAGCAACTTTTTAATACAAAAATTAAAATTTATGTACTAGAAAGATGTTTTAAGAAGTAATAAAAAAGCTGTCTCAAACGAACCTAAATTTACCGAAATAAATGTTAAAAAAACTGCTTCTTACACATTACTAAGAAAATTCATCCCGGTCAGATTTGGCATAGGTCCAACAAATCCATTATTAGCTAAATTTCTGAAAGTAGCAAGGAATGAGCGCTGTAAGCACTTAACATCAGCAGCTTGTATGCAATGTTTACTATAGCTTCACAGTTGCCATGACCACTTACAGAACACCAAGTTTAGCAAGATTGTTGATTGTAGAAGGAACTGTACCTTCCAGGTGATTCTTGTCAAGACGACTGTATATAAGATATATCAATCAGATATAAATCACATAAAACTATGCCTTTATTCTTATAACTTACATTATCTCAAGTTTTTTTGCAGCTCCTATGGAAGTTGGAATCGTCCCAACAATTTGATTTCTATCCAAAAGTCTGCCATTAGCCGAAATTAGTAAGCAGAAACTTCATCTTTTTAATGAGGAAATGCAGACATTTGAGTATTGAAGGCTTACAAGTGTCTTAGATGCATATCAGAGTGAAAAAGCTGTTCTGGAATGGGACCTGAAAGCCTATTCTTGTTAAGATGGCTGTTAAGAATACAAAAGTATCATTAGAAAGATCACCCCTTATGTTAGGCCGGTTCACCTTGAACTGGCCCAGCTGGCCCAAGGGCCAGCTCAACTCTACTATAGGAGGCGGAATTTGTCCGCCTCCAAGGATCTTGGCCGCCCACTTTGAGGGCCCCACTAATCCAAGTGAATTCAAATTGAAAAGGAGGGGGCGGCTAGGGCTGGAGAGGGAAATTAGATTAGGAAAGTTTTTTATTAAAAAGCATGAGATGTTTAGAGAGGGATTATGTTATGATTGGTTCTCAATTAGGGTTTTTGTTGACAACTTGGGCTCTAGACTCTCTTGTCTAGAGAATTGGGAGAGACGATCCTCTCGAATTGAGGATCTCTTGCATCTTTGCTTCATTCTTGTTTCGCTTTGCTTTTTATAAGATTATATAACATTTGATTGTTCTTCCACCATATTTTCTCGCAGTTTTATCAATTATTATTAGGTTTGCTTGCGAACTCAAGTATTTCTCATTAGGGTTACTTGCGAACTCAAGTATTTTCTATCACCTTCCCTTCTTCACATGTAAATTACAAGGCCAGACTGTAGGAACTCACAAGTGCTGTGTGTTTACAAGCTGATCCAATCCTGGAGTTGAGCCATTAGAGACTGGCAAAGGTCCAGTTAAGTGATTGTTTCCCAGATCCAGCCGGATGAGATTGGAGAGGTTTCCCAGTGCAGCTGGAATGGTTCCAACAAGCTGGTTCGAGTTCAGACCCCTAAGAACAAGAAGCAAAGAGATACAAAATGAATCAACAAGGAATAGTACTTCTTCCTTTCTGACTTGAAAGTTTGAAAGTCTCCTAATAAATATGGGTAAGACAGAATTTTTATGTACTAAATAGCTATTACATTCCCTTACAAATATATGAGCTTGCTTAGTTTGCCTAATTCGCTGGGGATGTTGCCACTGAAGCTGCAACGAACCAGTATTCTGAGTGATTGCACATGAGGAAATGTTCAAGTAAGTTGGGTCCAAAAATACAGCTATATTTAGACTTCGTTTGGGACGGCTTCTTACTACTTAAATTTTAATTTTTGTGCTAAAAAGTTACTTTAAGTAGTAAGAATACCGTCCCAAGCGAAACCTTAAATATTATGGACTGCTTCAACATATTAAAGGAATATGATTCTTTTACAGGGATTCAAGCTGCATCAAGTTTCCCATAGCAGGCGAAAGTTGGCCACCAAGATCCTTGTTATTAGACAGGTCCCTGCAGGTATGAAAAAACTAAGCTTTCTCAGATTACCAATTGAAACATGCAATACAATTTCACACATATGAGGCAGAAAAATTAAGGCTTCGTTTGGGACGGTTTTCTTCCTGCTAGCAGCTTTTCTGCTTTAAGAAGCAGGAAGAAAGCCGTCCCAAACGAAGCCTAAATTAGTAACCATCCATGTCCATAGCTCAGTTAACTTGTTCTGTCTAAAAGGTAGTGTCTTCAATTCCAGAATAGAAAGAACTTAGCCAAAAAAACTCACAGGAACTGCAACTCTGTAAGGCTCCCAATGTCACCGCTTAAAGTTCCGATCAAACCCATATTGTATAATTTACTGAAACATTCAATTAAAAGAAGTTCAATCAAACTATCAAATCTGAATAAATAAATTAAAAAAATGCAGATTTTCCATTAATGAATTCAGAAACAGAAATCTTATAAAAGAACTCACAGCTCTGTAACTCGAGAACCATTGCAAGTGACACCGTCCCATGGCGGAGAACCACAGGGAGCTTTCGACTTACCCCAACTCGCCGGCAAGTTCTTCATTGAATCCATTAGAGATCGGAGAGCAGCAGCTGAAACAAAAGCTCTGCAACTGTAATGTATTTGAAGTAAAGGAGACGACTTTAACAGAGAAGGGGGAAGAAAGTTACCATCTTGATCGTTTTGGGCGGCGGCGGCGGAGGTGACGGTGGTAGTTTGAAGGCTGGAGATGGCGGACGACAAGAGAAGAAGCAGAGCTATGACTGTTGCCTTTGACATTCCTATGAAGGAGCAGAGGGAGGGAGGAGGATTGAAATTTAGGTAGGTGAGGAATTAAGCCTATATGTACATAGTTAGTACAGTATATATCTCATAATATATATGATATAATAAATATTTATTTTAAAAATGTATATGTAAAAATTTCTTTTAAATAAATTACTCTTATTTTATTCATAAACTATTTATTAAAAAAAATTCGTGAATAAATTAATATGAACTGCTTTGAATATGAATGTTTATTATTAAAATAATTAAAGTCAATTCCCATATGTTTTTTTTTAGAGGATTGTGTTATTTTCTATTTTAAGCAATAAAGTGTATGCCAGATTGTGCAATAGTATGGAGGTTATTAAGGTTATGTTGTTCTACTTAAACTATGGGGACGTGTTATGGGAGCATAGGTTGCGGGCGTGATACTAATGTTTCTCAAATCATTTGGATCAATGCGGGTTAGGTCGAACTATGGAAGCCTACATATTATTAAGAGGTTGATGGAGAATATAGAGAATAAGGGGATCTACTATGATATTTATTGATTTAGAAGCATATGATTAAAGTCTAAGAGAGTGCTATGGAGAGTTCTTTGAGAGGAGTCATAATGCCTTATTCAAATCAGTTAAAGATATGTATGCAGGAGCTATTACCTTGGTGTTAAACACAAGGTGGATTGGCAAGTATTTCCCTTATTTCGTTTGGGTTAATCTAAGGATGATTAGCTTATCTTTGTGCATAGGATTGTTCTCACTAGCAATGAAGAGGTGTCTTGGTGGTATGCTTTTTGCTGAGTATTCTTCTTGTTTGCATTAAGATAGGAAGAGGGTTAGAAGGTTAAATTGAGTTTGGAGGTCAACTTAAGTCTAAAGTTTTTTCGCTTGGTAGATCTAAAACGGATATTATGGGGTGTAATTTTGTAGGTAATAGACGTGAGGGGATTGTGACTTTTGGACGATCAAGTCATTAATAAGAGTACACGTTTTTAGATATCTTGGATCTATTGTTTAGAGTGATGGGAAATAGCTGGGGATATTATCGCAGAGATTAAGTTGGATGGTTGAAGTGGAGTGCATCGGCTTGTTATGGTGATAGAATGTACCCCTCAAACTTAAGGGAAAATTCTATTAAGATGGTGTGAGGCCTGCAATGCTTTTGGTGCCGAATGTTGGCCTTTAAAAGAGAAGCATAATACTAAGTTATAGATGGGGATGAGGTGCTCTGGTGATGAGTGGCTTTACCTTAGAGTAGGATACGAAATGAGCAATATACGTGAAAGGTGGAGTAGCTCCAGTAGGATAAGATTAGAGAAGTCGCCTTAGATGGTTTGGTCACATAAAACGGGGCTTGCGATGGACCCGGTTAGGAGAGTAGAGGTATTAGATTTGACTATATGTTAAAGGTAGGGTAGACCTAAAAGACTTGGTTTAGAAAATATTAGGAATGACCTTTCTTTTTAGATTTAAAGAGAATTTGGACTTTTAATAGACAACAATGGAGAAAAAGGATTCTGTAGCCGACCCCACGTAGTGGAGTAGGCGTTGATGTTGTTGTTGTTGTTTGTTGTAGCATTATCTCAAGAGTACCTGAAACCATTGCTTTCTGTGATTGAAAAACAACACTAGATGGACATACACAGTAGTATTCAATAATCACATGCCCAAAAGCATGTAATTGAACATCAAATGGCAAATTTGGATTGCATCTGGTTATAAAAATTAACTCTGTTTAATCTAATTAATCATTATTTATGAAATTAACTCGGGCATGAACTTAACCCATATAATTATTCAAAAAATAATGTAATCAAAATCTAGGTTAGTCCGAATGTTAGAAAGAATTGAATCCTTATTACGTACAATGATAAACTGAAAGAAGTCAAGCGAATGAGGAACGAAGACTAAATTGGGGTGAATTTTTTGCCATGGCACACTTTGCGAATGATTAGGTAATTGGATGAGGTCATTAGACATGATGGCTGCACTGGGGTGATTTCAACCTATTTTACTGAATTGTGAGTGGGAAGAATTAAGAAAAGGAATAATAGAATGGGTTTAGGAGGAAAATTTTGCAATGGTTGCAATGAGGAATGGATATAGTAGTGGCTTTATTCTTAGAGCTGGAGTTTGAGATTAAGATTGCAGACAAGGTGTGTAACGAGTCGATCAGTGGAGTTTAACCTATTTGGCTAAGCTGTTTAACTTTCTTATATGTTGAACCGATACCATATTTATGAAGGCTGTTATGTTGGGTACATGTCAGCACCGGATGCATCATTTACGGCATCGATCTGTCGGATATTGAAAGCTATATCATTAAGGGATAAAAGGAGGCGCATTAGATTCCGTGTCCATTGAAATGAAAAAAATTGTAAATGACGCTCGTATTTTACTTCGCCGCTGTGAGGGAGGTTCTCTCATTTTTGAACCACAGACGAGGCCGTTGGTTGTTAGGGTTCTTTGTTTTTTACGAACGTGTGCGTGCATCAGGTTTTTCTCTTTAGTCGAAGGAGTCAGAGAGGAGAGTCCGGTCGAACGCGGCAGGAATTAACGAGGGATGTGGCGAGGCGATAACCGGGACGAGGGCATCGGGAGACGACGTAGCGAGAAAGGCAAGCGACCGCAGCTTGGTTTCCATCGTCAATTATGGCAAGATGGGCCACATGAAGGTTGGATCTATACTGGTGTTTTAACACATATGGCTTTGATCGTTTTTTAATGTATTTTACATCTTTATTATTGTAGCATAATTTAAAATTTATTAATTTGAGGTCGAAGTTTCTTATTGGCACATGGAAGTTTGAGCTGTCTATTTTCAGATTGATTTTTTCTATCCTGCTTTAGTTTTGATGGACTAAGAGGTGGACAAAGTAATTTTGTATGATTTAATATAATGAATGTCATGGTCGTAACGTTTTTGTTTTTAAGAATTGATGTGTACCGTATTCGTATCGTGTGTATTGTGTCGTTATATCGTACGGTACAACATAGGTTCTCATTTGCTGACCTCAAGCTTTGACTCAACTCGTTTGCTAGGCTCAAACGCGACTCGTTAAAAAGTTGTAGGCTTGATTCTCAGTTGTTTGGAAGCTTGAGCTTTGATTTATGATTGTTGCTGTTTTTTTTAAATTTTAAATTTTTTTTTTTAAAGATTTTATTTTAATATAAAATTTTTTCAAAAGTTAAAATATGTTTATATAATGCTAATTTAGATTTAATCTTTTAATGTTTTTTAAGTTAATCAAGTAGCTCAACAAGCTTTTGAGCCGAGTTCACTCGTGACTTGTAAGCTTGAACTTTTGGGGACTCTTTAATGTCAAGCCTTGCGCTGGATCGCGAACCGATTGGCTCATTACACGAAGGAGCAATAATGATAGCTAGGAGAAGAATGCGTAAAAGGCTTAGATGATTTGGTATTTCTGTGTGATGCATGAGTTGTGTGTGTGTGTGAGAGAGATGAGAGGAGATTCCCTTACAGATGATTAGGGCGGGATCGGGCGATCAGTTTTGTGACTTTGTGGAGGGAGGGTAGCTTGATTGGGGGTTCAGATCTTTATTTGTATTTATTTACTTTGTGAAGGTCAATAAATTTGCCTCGAAATGGGTTTTTTTATTGTATTAGTACTATAGATTCTGTGTTTCTCGGTTAACCTGGGATTTGTTTTGTTAATTGATAAGCAAGGAACTGCATGAAACGCTTGTGTTGCTTCTATCTGTGAGATGTAAATATGCAGTGGTACTATTCCAATTTTTACTTATGTTTGCTGCTGTTCTACCAATTAAAATGCTTTTGATCTTATGTTAAACTGGCATTAGTGGTTGGTTTTTAATGCTTTACTTATGCAGTAATATTAATGATATATTATTGACTTACGACAATTTTTTTTTTTCAATTTTCATCTTGTTGTGCTTTTGTTATCGTGTTTTGGTTGCTTTGGAGTACTTTATCTGAGTTTCTAAATTTTTTCAAGTATTTTTTTAGCTGTAAAGTGATTAAGTGATTAATTGCAGAATTCTGTACTTTGTAAGTTCAAAGCCATTTACCGAAGTTCTTTGTCTGTGTCATATAAGGGAGACTTGTTTGTGGTATAAGAAGCAAGATCGAATATTTGTTTGCCCTTATGTTCAGGTGGTTCGTGGCAATCGAGTTCGCAAAGGGTTCTTTTTGGACGGCTTTTTTTATTGCTTTTTTATTAGTATATTTACTAAAACTATGTTTAAGAAGCAGTACGAGCGTTCCATGAAGCTAGTTGACTGACTGATATTCAGTATTGCTGTTTTCCACATTGGATTCAACTCTCTGTACTCAGTTTCAGTTGGAAGAGTTTCAGCTATTGTGCCAGGATGCAGCGAAACGACACCAACACTTGAGAAGGATGGTATGACCATTTTTGATTTTTTTTTTATTTTTTTATTTTAGTGTGGCTGCGTTTTTTCTAGTAAGTGAATTATTTTGGTATTGATGAATGGCTAAATTTTTTCCTCAAAGAGTTTTTCGGTCTGGTAGCTCTTTGATTTAGTAAGAAAAATGCTGTTTTGATATTTTTTGATTGTGATATATTTTAGTTATTTTATTATTAGAGCTTTTGTAACTATTATTGGTTTTTTCAAAAGATTTTGAAATCAAAATAGAAAATTTTTATTATTTTAAATATTATATTTTATTTGTAATTTTAGTATACTAAATAGGGTATATATATTATATAATTTGGCAGTATGGATAAGATGTTTGGTATTATGTTTTTGTAAGTTAAAATTTATTTATGTATTATCATTTTTTAAAGGATAAAAAGTTTAATAATGAGAAAATGATCAAATAGTTTAATTTATATTAAAGGGTTATTTTGGTCATTTAATTTTTTTAAAATGAATATGTAGTTTCATTTATATGAAATATTTTGATTTTTTTTGGAAAAATTTAAGGGATCATAATTGGTTTTTTATAATTGGGATTATTTATTTGTGATTTTTTTAATTATTGTATATATAATTATTTTTGTTAATATGGTAATTCTTAAGTTTTATTATTTATTTTTTTATTTTAATGAGTTATTTGATGGCTTGGGTTTAGGTAGTATTATTCTTCCTTTTTATTATCTTAAATAAGCTCTGCATGGAACTCAAATTGGTTAAGTGAGTAT